CATCTCAGTTATGGAGCTCTTACAAGGACAAGTTGAAAGAATGTACCCTGTGAAAGACACTGCACATGGCACTCTTTGCATGACTCAGCACACAGCATCCTGTGAGAGTCTCAGCACCCAGCACCCAATGCAGGACTCAGCACACTCCACCTTGTGAAGGACTCAGCATATAGCACCATGGCATGTGCAGGACTCAGCACAGATCACCCTATGGAGGACTCAGCACAAAGCTCTGTTCCACAAGCTATAATTAGAATTAAGGTGGTTTCACATTCTTCGAGGATCATTTCGTATCTATTGGTTTAGTGGGGTGTTTTTATTTTGGGGGAGGTTAGTTATGGCGCTTGAGCTCAAAACAAGGGGATACTATTCTAATAACATTTGCTCAAGGCTAGTGCTCTACAATTTCAAGCCATATTTCAAAGATTCTAGCAGACTTCCTGCCAGGATTTAAAGCCCCCAAGCAGCCAAGATGTCTGGGGTAAGCCAGGGTAAGCCAAAATGATGGGGGTAACCCATGGAGCTGGGTTACAGCAGTTTACATCTGGCTAAGTCAGGTTAGGTGACAGCTGTCAGCACCAGACTCCTAGCTTTCTCTGTGATGAGGTATTTGATGTCCTATCCTTCTATAGTTGCAGTGAGTATATTCTACCTTTTTTTTTTTATCTTTTGGCAGTCCTGGGACTTGAGTAAGGGCTTTGACACTGTCCCTAAGTGTTTGTGCTCAAGGCTAGCACTCAGTTGATTGAAAGACAGCAGAACTTCTAGATTTACTTTTTATGTGGCACTGAGGGTTCGAACCCAGGGTTTCGTGCTTACTAGTCAAGCACTTAACCAACAAGCCCCAGGAGTGAAAGAGTTATAAATAGATAGAGGCTGCTGTGTATAATTTTCTATACACAAAAGATGTCTGTACATTATTAATTTATAGATAATATTACTACCAATTTTTAGGTATTAAGTTATGTCTCCATTTAATCATGTGTCTCAGTTAACAATTAATAAAGCATTAATTAAAATTATAAGTACATACATCTGTACATAAATTACATATTTTATAGAATGCGACAGATGTCTATATAATTAAATTATGCATCATGTGTTACTACCAATTATTAGGTATTTATGTTTCCATGCAATTTTCTTTCTATTAATGCTTAACAAAATATTAAACTTAATCCATGTCCTATAATTAGTGTGTCTAATTTTATCCTAGAATGATTCACTACTAATTCAATCTGTTTTTCATTTATTGTAGTGACAATTCTTCCACCAATGACATTTTTTACATTTATGGCATCCTATTACTAGCATATATATTTGCATCTGAATTATACATTCTGTCACTGAGCACTTTAAAAGAAAAGAAAACATGTGTCATGCTCGGCTTCTTCCTCCTCGATTACATTTTTGGCAGTACTGGGATCTAAATTCAGGGCCTAGAAGGCTCAATTCATGAATGGGTGACTGTCAGCACAGAAGCCTCTAGCCAATTCATCGGCCAGGCAGTTCCTAGGCCCTGAGATCGAGCCCCATACGTTGACCACATATTGCACTTAGTGTAGTTATTCGTTTTATTTTTTTATTAATTTATTTACTATTTATTTTATTGACTGTTATTACACATGAAATATTTGCTCCATATATTACATAAGATATAGATTTGCATATGTATGAAACTTCATACCTTACACCCAGGACTTTCAAAGAATCAGAAAACATGTGTCACCATGGGATTCTTACTCCACGATTCAATTTTTGTGAGTACTGGCATTAGAACTCAAAGCCTATAAGTCCCAATTCATGAATGGGTGAGTGTCAGCATGCCAGCCTGGGGCATATTGAGCTAACAAGCATTTCTAGCACCTGAGATTGAGCCCCAGGGGTTGACAAAATAAGAACAGATTGACATGCAGATGGTAGTACACAAGTAAATATAGATCTTTACAGAGTGCCAGTGATGTCTATACATTATTCCTGTATATAGACTGCATTCCTACCAATTCTTGGGTATTTATTATGCCTCCATGTAATTAGTATTCTTGTTTTCATCCTTAATGAATTATTAATAAAGCAACAACTGTCCCAAAACTATTGAATCCATGTAATTAATACTATTCTTTGAATGTCTCAAAAATATTCATTAAAATCCATTGGTCACCTAAAATCACTCCATCTAATTGTATAGTAGTATTCAGAAACAACTAATTCAACTTTGCCATTCATAATCTTCCATCGGTAATCCTATGAATAGGAACGAGACTCTTAGTATCTCCCTCCATTGGTAGGGGTCAGGACTGTGCTTCAAACACATGGCCTATGTTGCTGTGTTGGCCTAAGGCTTCCCTGGTGGCCCACCAGCCTTCAGCAATGCCAGGTTACCAACATTTTGCAGCCGTGTCATTCAGTCCCAGAATGGTCACTTTGCAAAGAAAACAAATGTAAATCTGGTAAGTTGTCAGTTTTTATTTTTCTGTGTCGCATTATTTATTATTGTTTTCCTGTCAGCATTTGAGGCCCAGGAACCCAGGTTTGGCTTTGGATCCAGTGGTTGCACCCCAGCCTAGAGTGATCAATGCTGAGGCAAAATTGCCACTACCTGAGATCAAGCCCTGTGCTTGAGAAAATAAAAATACATGCATACATACATATTTAAAATATTTTAATATTTAAAATATTATGAGGCTCCTTAGCCTGGAATTCAGGCCATTGTTTTTGCCAGGCCTGGGATTTGAACTCAGGATGTGGGTAAATCTGTAGCACTGTGGGGGATGGAAAGATCACCGGGCTGGAAGACAAGAAAGTCAGGCCTGTTCCCAGGGCCTGAATTCAAATCCTAGCACTTGAAAAAATAATATTCATATATATTTGACATACATGATTCATATTTACATACACATGTTTATTGCATATTGCAGTTAGTGTATTCATTTTATTTTGTGTTTTATTTCTTATGTATTTGAGAGTGAGCATGATTACACATATAACATTTTGCATCCTATTACATAAGACATAGCTTTGCCTATGTATTCTACATCATTCCTGAGACCCAGGACTTTCATCGATACAGAAAACAAGTGGAACAATTGGCTTTTCGAACAGGATTAAGTTTTTGGCAATTCTCTGACTTGAACTCAGGGCCTAGCAGGCCCACTTCATGAATGGTTAAATGTTAGCACACCAGTCTGATGCAAGTGAAGTTGGCAGGCCAATTTGAGGACCTGAGATCAAGCCCTAGGAATGGCCAATATATAAACAGGTAGATGTTTAGATTGCAGTGTATGTGTGTGTTTGTTTGTGTGTGTGCGTGCATGTGTGTGTGTATTTACATATGTATATGCATCTATAAATATATACAGAGAGAGACAGATAGACATTTATGTAGAATCTAGTGTATAACCCAATATAAAGAGTGTTGTCTGTACCTTATTTTTATATATTCTATTACTACCAATTATTTGGTATAAAATTATGCTTCCAATTATCATGGCAGAAGAATTAACAAAGTATTAATTAATCAATGACCTATATTTATTGCATACAATCTTATACTGGAATGACTAGCTAGTTAGTAATTCAATTAATAAATTTCAAATATTCTATTAATGTTCCTATAGATAGGAATGAGTTTCCTAGGATCTTCAGCTGTGTGTAGGTGGCAGTCCTAGGATCGATCTCAGGCCCTAGGTGTCTGGTTTGGCTCAGGCTTCACTGACAGCCCCTCAGCCATCATCCATGCAAGGCCACATACAATTTTCAAGCCAAGTCATTGAGACTCAGGAGGGTCACAGTGCTAAGGAAACAAAAGTAAAAACTGTTGTGTAACATTTCCTGGTTTTTCCTCCTCCATTTTTGTTGGTTTAATGTATTTTTGCCAGTGCTGGGAGTTGAACTCTGGTCCTAGGATCCCTGGATCATCTGTGGGTGTAAAAGTTGCACCACAGCCTAGGGTAATCATGGTTTAAGACACAATAAAATGTTTCCTTGAGCAAAAGGAGCTCAGGGAAAATGTCTAGGCTCACAGTTCAAGCCCAGGACCTGACACAAAAAAAAGAGCCAGTAACTCCATGTGTCTGTGTATGTATGCATGCATTTGTGTCAGTGAAGATCCAGAGTTGCTATGAAGAACGGCACCCAGCTAGGAAATTTGCTTTGAATAGAATGATTTCATAGCACAGAGTGCTTTCAAGACAATCCATGTTTCGGGGCTCCCTCAGTGTTCCCAGTGTAGCCTGAGGGGTCTCCATACCCCAGGCTGCCGGAGGAAGTCGGCTTCATTATTGGAACAGGCAGACAAAAAGTTTCACTTCTGTAAAGCTGCATAACAAACAATTCATCCGGGCGAATTAATGAGGATGAATGTGCGCAGGTTCTGAAGGTCAGGAGGAAAAGGCCTGTTTGTACCCCAAGCTATCTCTCTCCCCAGTGGTCTGTTTTGATAGGAAACCTTCATTTGTGCCACCTTCTGTGGCAGGCCAAGTTCCCTGCACTCATTCCGTGTTGAAACAAACTGCTACAATTAATTCAAGAGTCCTTCTGGCAGACAATTAGGGAGCTGAACATAATGGAATGATATATTATTGGCAAAGGTGCCTCCATGTGGGGTGTGTGTGTGTGTGTGTGTGTGTGTGTGTGTGTGTGTGTGTGTGTGTGTGTGTGTGTGCATACACCATTCCTGGTGTTTGAACTCAGGACCTAACTGAAGAGCTAAAGTAATTCCATTTTAAGATCAAGCCCCCTGAGCTGTGCTGCCCTCAAAGTAACCCGCAAAGAGAGCTGTGCTGCCAAAGAGAAAAATAGTTCTCAGAAAAACCGCAGGTTGCCACCAACCCTGCCCACCTTTAAAGAACAGAACAGTTGCCCAGGTGTTCCAGCTGAAAAAGGGAAGTGTGATCAGGGTGGACATAAACCCCCTGAACTTGTGAACTTGCTTGTGTGGAAACCCCCTAAACTTGTTTGTTTGATGCTATAAAAGCTGTGTCAATTTTATGCTTGGGGCCTCTTAGCATCACCAGTTACCAAGTACACATAGGACCAAGCTCCAGCTTGCAATAAATGACTCTTTGCTGTTTGCATTGATCATGGTCTCTGGTGGTCTGAGAGGGGGCGTCTGAAATCTGAGCACTTTATGTGGGAGCTTGTCCGGGATAGCCCCCCCATAAGCCACACAGATACCTGATCAGCGAGTCGTCCAGCTAGCCGGTAAGAGGGGGTGCAGCTGCTTTATGTTGCGTGTTATGTGTTTGATTTGCAAGTAGGGATTTAGAGCTGGCAAGAAACGTTGGTAGATGTGCTTCAAGGTAGCCAGCAGGCGAGTTGAAGAAATTGCCTGGGCCCTTGGGGAAGCCTTCCCCAGTGGAGTCTCGCTTCACTCTGTCATCTTTTGGACCATGACTTGTCCGGCCTCTGCTACTCTGGGTTAAGGGTAGATTATCCACCTCCCGGGTAGGGACTCATTGGCCTCCGCCATCCTATGGGACAGGAACTCATCTGGCCTCCACAACCGTGGCTTAGGGGTGGATTCGAGCTCGAGATCAACATGCATGCTCTCTTTGTCTCATTTGTAGTTGCCATTTTAATTCAGCGCCTCTCTTTCTTTCCTTTCCTTGTTCATTTAACTTTCATTTTCGGATCAGCAGGCATCCTGGAGCCCCCCGAATGGGGTGGCCAGACGCTCCTTTCACCTCAGCCGCTCTCCCCGTTTTAATACATTTGGAATTTTAGGATGACATCAAAGGTTGACTTATTCTCTAGAAGAGGAGGCAGTGGGGGAAGGGAGAACCTGCAGGATCTAGCAATAACTTTGAAAGGGGCCTGCAGGGAAAACTCTAAGCCAGATGAATCTGCCACTGACCACCAAGTGCCACCAGCAAGATCTTAGCCTCGGGCCTTGGCCCAGAGGGTCTGAGTATGGGGGGGAGACTGTCAGTCTGAGGGGATGGCTTCCAGGGTCTTTTTTCCCTTGCCCCAAGATGACTGAGAATTCTCCTCCACCTTGGAAGGCCTCTGGATCAACATTTGCAGGAATCTAAAAAAATAAAAGATAAAAAGAAATCCTCTGGTGGTAAGATGTTGCCCAATTCATGGAGATCTGATTTTGTCTTTGTGTCCACTTGTCTGTCTTGTTTACTTTGGTGTCGTTTCTGTTCTATTTTTGAGGTGGGGGAATTCTGGGTGAGGGTGGCCAGCTCACTCAACAGATTCTGAATTCAGCTTGCTGATTGAGAATGGCGCAGTTCTAGTAGGAATGAACTGAGGGCCCATTAGTCCCCAACTCAGCTTTTGGCTGTTGTCTAGTTCTGTTTTAGAATTGGTACCTGTTTTACGTGTGGATTCTTGGTTTTTGTGTTTATTTATATTTTTGTTATTTATTTGAACATCTCTGAGGAAATAAAAGTTCTAGCCTCTGGCTGGGCTCAGCCACAGACCTGCTAGGCTCGCGTCACTGTGAGGTATGTAAGGTTGCTGGACTAGTCTGGTTCCTTTCAGGTCTTGGGCTGAATTTTCTCCTTGTGGAGGCTGCCTGAGCAGAGAGTGTGGTTTGTACCTGGTTTGGATTTTTCAGCGAGTCCTGATAATGTAACAATTTGTAAAGTGCTCTTGTCTAAAATTGGATAAAATTCAGGCCAGTTTAGTTTTAGGTGACCCCTTCAACCAGCCCTTCTCCAACAGGTGGGATTCAAAAGATCCGTTGATGAATTGCCTTGCTAAACAAGCGAGCCCTGGGAAAATGAAGCTTAACAAAGGTACTTAGTTTAAAAAAATACTGTCTTAAATTTTTGTTAAAAAAACTTTGAAAAAATCTATGTAAAACTGATTTTGATTTATGCACGCTTTAAGATCTGTGTGTTTTCTATGTGTTTGTAAACATGTTCAAGATAAAAATTGTCAACATGCTGTAAAAATTGGGTGAATTTAAGTTTAAAATGTAAAAGGTTAAGAGGTTTAGACATTACTAAAAATTTAAAAAACTTTCACATTGTTTTAAATGGCTTTTTAAGGATTCTTTAACGTAAAAATTAGAAAATCTGTTATTTTAAATTTTAATATTTTTAAATGCTTTGGCAGTTTGGGATTTAGTTCCCTTGGCTAAAATTTCAGGATAAATATTAAAAATTTAAATGGAAAGGTCAATTTAGCACTGTTACAAAACATGACATGTTCTGTCTGTCTAAAACTGTATTTTATTCAAACCTCCCTACCCCCAAAAAAAGGGAAAATTTAGAAGACTACCTAAGATCTATATTTAGGGGTGAGGCTGAATAGGCAGAAGTGTAGTTAAGCTGGTCATGCGTGGTGGGACCGACCTAGGGGGGGGGTGCTTCATAGATGGTGGGACTGGCCCTGGGAGGAGTCCACACATGGTAAAAGAGGGCAAGCTGGCACAAACGCAGTTCATCTAACCTTAAAGAGTCAGATTCCATAGGAGGGGCTGAGTTGCCCATCTTTGTTCTGTCCCTTTTCCCTGCAGATAGACCCTGAAAACATGATGGTTAAAATGAGTGATGTGATGATCTGATTAGTATTGCTAAAACTGCCCCTTGTATGTGTTAAAATTAAAATTAAAATGGCCTTCAAAAGAGGGTTAAAAAGTTTATTTGTATAATGTAACTTGCTTTCAATGATGTTCTACAATTAGGATGTTTTTAAAAGTTATAAAGGTGTTAAGCCTAGCTTCTTGGCATAGAAATGGTGATTGTAATTATTTTTTTCTAGATTATTATTTGTTTTTATTGTGAAAATACTGTACAAAGGGGTTACAATTACATGGGCAAGATAATGAGTACATTTCTTATCAAGCATTGTAGCATCCTCCTTTGTTTCCCCTTCCCATCCCATCCTTTCCCTATCCCCCCATTCAAGCCTCCAATCACCCCCCACAAACTTTACAACCAAAGTTGTAAAGTTCGTTTTCGACATAACGACTTGTACATCTCATTGTTGCAATATTTCCACCTGTATCCCTATTTAAACGATTCGTTTTTTCCCTTACCCTCCACAAATTATACTAACATCAAATACAGTGAAAGCAGGGGTTATACAATGGGGGAGGGACATACAAAGCAACAAAGATATCATCTTATAAATGTGTTAGAAACAATCGCATGAAAGAAAACAGCATTTGAGTACATATTTAGGGTTCATTTCCCTAACATAAATTTATCTGAGCTTTTCTGCTTGATTCAGGCATATACTATTTATTGGAAATAAGGAAAACCATGGGACCTATATTTCTTTGGGCCTGGCTTACTTCACTTAATATAATTTTTTCCAAGTCTTTCCATGTACTAACAAATGGGGCAATGTCATTCTTTATGATGGACGCATAGAATTCCATTGTGTGTGTGTGTGTGTCGCATTTTCTTGATCCATTCATCTACTGAGGGGCATCAGGGTTGATTCCATTTCTTAGCTATGGTAAATAATGCTGCAATAAACATATCGTGCTGGTACCTTTAGTGTGGTCTTGTTTGTGAACATTTGTGTAAATGCCCAAAAGTTGGATTGCTGGGTCATAGGTGAGCTCTATGTGGAGTCTTTTGAGGAACTTCCATACTCCTTTGCAAAGAGGTTGAACAAGTTTACACTCCCACCAACAGTGCAGTAGGGTTTACTTCTGTCCACATCTCCTCCAGCATCTGTTGTTATTAGAGTTCTTGATTATAGCCATTCTACCTGGGACGAGGTGGTATCTCAATGTTGTTTTGATTTGCATTTCTTTTATGGCTAGGGAGGTTGAGCATTTCTTAAAGTATGTATTGGCCCTTTTTCATTCCTCTTCAGAGAAGTTTCTCTTTAAGTATTTAGCCCACTTATTTATTGGGCAATTGTTTCTTTGAAGATTTGTTGTTGGGGGATTTAATTTTTTGAGTTCCAGGTATGTTTTAAATATGAGACCCTTGTCCGTTGTTGTATGGCTAGTGAAGATCTTCCCCCAATCTGTGGGCTTTCTATTGATCTTGCAAGCTATGTCCTTTGCCATGCAGAAGCTCTACAATTTCATGCAATCCCATTTTGTCCAACTTTTCTTTAATTTGTTGTCTTTCTGGGTCTCTATTAAGAAAATTTCAGCCTGTGCCAAGGAGAAAAAGGGTTTCTCCTATTCCATCCTGTAATGTTTTCAGTGTCTGCTTTGACTCTGATGTCTTTGATCCATTTGGAGTTGATTCTCATGCAGCGTGATATATAAGCATCTAGCTTTAGTTTTCTACAAGTAGTTAACCAAGCCAGCACCATTTACTGAAGAGGCTGTCTTTCTTCCATTCTATTTTTTTAGCCCCTTTATTGAAGATTAAATGGCTATAGGTCTGTAGGTTCATTTCTGGGTTTTCAATTCTATTTCATTGCTTCTGAGGTCTGTTCTTGTGCCAGTAGCAAGCTGTTTTGATTACTATGGCTTTATAGTCGAGTTTGAAATTTGGTATTGATATTCCTCCAGCACTGTTCTTTCTGTTGAGGATAGTTTTAGCTATTCTGGTTCTTTTATTGTTCCATATGACTTTTTGGATTGCCTCTTCTGTTTCTTTGAAGAATGAGATGGGAATTTCGATAGGTGTTGCATTGAATTTGTAGATAGCCTTGGGAAGTATTGCCATTTTCACGATGTTGATCTTTCCAATCCAGGAGCATGGGAGTTTTTGCCACTTCTAAGTTCTGTTTTGATTTCCTTTTTCGTTTTTAAAGTTTTCATCATTGAGGTCCTTCACTTCTTTGGTTAAGTTAATTCCTAGGTATTTTATTTTTTTGTGGGGCTATTACAAATGGAGTTGCTTTCCTAATTTCGGCAACAGTTTACTCAATGTTGGCATACAGAAAAACCATTGATTTTTGGGGGTTAATTTTATAACCTGCTACTTTGCCAAAGTTTTAAATCAACCTGAGTAATTTGGGAGTGGAGTCTATGGGATTCGTTAAATACAAGATCATGTCATCTGCAAAGAGGAAGAGTTTTATTTCTTTTTTCCCTATTTGGATCACCTTTATGTTTGCATCTTGTCTTATTGCTGTAGATAAGAATTCTAATACTAGATTGAAGAGAAGTGGTGATAGTGGACATCCTTGTCTTGTTCCTGAGTTAAGAGGAAATGACTTTAGTTTTTCACCATTAAGTATAATGCTGGCTGTAGGTTTGTCATATATAGCCATTATTGTATTGAGGAATGTTCCATGGATTCCTAATTTTTCCAGAACCTTCATCATAAAGGGGTGTTGGATCTTGTCAAATGCTTTTTTTACATATATTGAGATAATCATGTGGTTCTTATCCTTGCTCTTGCTTATGTGATGAATTATATTAATTGATTTGCGAATATTGACCCAGCTTTGCATCCCTGAAATGAGTCCTGTTTGATCGTGGTGTATGATTTTCTGGATGCGTTGTTTAAGACGACTGGCCAAAATTTTGTTGAGAAGTTTTGCATCAATGTTCATCAAAGTAATGGGTCTACAGTCCTCTCTCTTTAATGAGTCCCTGCCTGGTTTTTGGATGAGGGTTATCATAGCTTCATAGAATGAGTTCAGTAATGAACTTTCTCTTTCAATTTTATTTAAGAGTTGGAGAAATATTGGTGTCGGCTCTGTTTTGAAGGCCTTGTAGAATTCCACTAAAAAACCATCTGGTCCTGGGCTTTTCTTAGATGGGAAGTCTCTTATTGCTGTTTCTATGCCAATCCTTGATATGGGCCTGTTAAAATATTTTAACTCATCTTGGTTCATTTTTGGCATGTCAGTATTTGCTAGGAAAAGTCCCATTTCTGCCAAGTTTTCAAACTTATTAGCATAAAATTTTGAGAAGTTTTCCCTTATAATGTTCTGTATCTTGGTTGTTTCTGTGGTGATGTTTCCATTCTTATCACTGCGTTTATTTATTTGGGTGCGTTCTCTTCTTTTTCTGATAAGATTTGCTAAGGGTCTGTCAATTTTATTATTTTTTTTGAAGAATCAACTCTTTGGTTTGTTGATTCTTTCTATATTTTTTGGATTCTAATTCATTTAATTCTGATTTAATTTTAAGTATTTCTTTCCATCTACTGGATTGGGGTTTATCTTGCTCCTCTTTTTCAAGAAAGCTCAGATGTCTCATTAAATTGTTGGTTTCAGATCTCTCCATTTTGTTGATGTAGGAACTCAGAGCTATAAACTTGCCCCTGAGTATTGCCTTTGCTGTGACCCAGAGAAGCTGGTAATTTGCATGTTCATTGTTGTTGAATATCATGAACATTTGAATTTCCTTTCTCATCTCTTCCATGACCCACTCGTGAATCAGCAGTGTGTTGTTCAGCCTCCATGTGTTACAGGATTTTCTTTGGTGGCTTTTGGTGTTGAGTTCTAATTTTATTCCCTTGTGGTGTGAGAGAATGCAAGGTATAACTTCAATGTTTCTGAATTTGGACAAGTTTGCTTTGTGGCCTAAAGTGTGGTCTATTTTGGAAAATATTCCTTGTGCTGCTGAGAAAAACGTATATTCTGATGCTCCTGGGTGGAATATTCCATAGATGTCTGTTAAATCTAGTTGATCTATGCAGTTTTTTAGATCTCCGTTTTCTCTGTTGAGTTTTTCTGAGTTTATCTATCTAGTGGGGAAAGTGGTGTGTTAACGTCCCCAACAATTCAAGTCTTTGGAGATATTGGGATTTGGGGGAAAATAGTGTTTCTTGCATAATTTTAGGTGCTCTGTTGTGTGGTGAATTGTGATTGTAATTCTTGCATTAAGAATAAATTCCATATGATTTTAAAAGTTTTAATG